AAACAATCATGCAAACAAAAAATCAAACAATCATGCACGCAAAAAATGCAACTTTGGTGGCCAAAGCTATATTTGGGGACGGCCACGTTTCATCCACAACAACGGGCACCATAAAACCCGTCGCGGGACTCGAGCTACACGGGCGATTACGTTCGACCCACGGGTGTGGCCCTCGTGCAACCCACCCCAGAGTCAATCTCACCGGGGTTGAGTGGTAGTTTTCTTGTAAGGGCGTGAATTTCATACCGTTGTGACTGTTCGTCAGTCGATTTAATCCGGATCCTTGTGGGTCCTGCGGTTTTCATTTGAACCTTCTCGTGCAATTCTTCGACATTAGTGAGGGCGGTCCACATGGCAGAACCCCGGTGGATTGAAGAGCAGCGCGTCCCTTGGCGCAACATGCGTCCCTTGGCGCAACATGCGTCACTTCTCGAGAGCCGCCGGTCACCTTTTCTGCTGCGACGGGCTGCCTTTCTCTCTCTGTATTAAATATGTGTCACTTCCCACGCACGACTCGAGAGACTAATAACTACAGAACTGCCACTGACTTTTGGCTTTCACGACCAACGCGATTCCTCTCGCTGGTCGCTTCGGTTTCTTCTTCCTCTATAAAACCGTGAAGTCCGCAGTTCTATGGTTTCATATCATTTTCGAAGCAAACCACATAACTCTCTCTTCTCAAGTTTTTCTTTTTCCTGCCACACATCCCTCTTCTCGTTCAATTGAGATGGTGGCTTCGAGTTCGTCAGGCGAGTGGGACGCTCGCTTTACGTGGTCTTGGGTTGAAACCGAGGATATAGACACCTACAGCGGAGAGTCCTTCCGACCATCCTCCATCGGTATGCACGCCGGACTCCTTGGAGGGGGTCCTGCGATAAACCTTCCCTACTCTTCCGTCCTTGCTCCGATCTTTCCTGGTGAAGGCGATCGGGCAGACCACCTGCCGTGACATTGCATCGCGATCTACGACGACTACATCTTACATGGCTTCTGGGGCAGTGTTCCCCGAATGGTGGTCGACTTCTGCCGCTTTATCGGCATCTGCCCCAGCCAGCTCCAGCCTTTAGCGTGGGGCCTCCTTTGTGCTTATCAGGTCCTGTCGAACCTATTCGGGGTCCCCATCTGCTGTTCTACGGTGCTGCTGTCCTACCAGCTTCGCAACCTGACTGCTGACGCTCTCCGCTACACCCTGCACACTAGAGATGGGTGTACTGCTGCCATCCACAGGGACCGCTCAGGGAGCTCTGATTGGCGCGAACGGTACTACTTCTGAACGGTGCTGGCAGACGTCAACCTCCAGCTCACCTGGCGCCCATGGGGTAGGATCGACAATCTTTACTTTCTCATGCTTATCATGGCTGTTAAAACTGTCTTTTGACCGCTGTTCTCTATTTTATCAGGTTCTGCGAGGACATCGGCCTTTGAGCGGTTCAGGTCGTTTAACTTCCTACTCTCGCCGGTGAGCATTGGGGTGAGTTCACTCGTCCTCTCGCCCCGCACGATGCCAGATGTTCCAGGTAATGATTCTGACTCTTCCGCTTTTGATATGACGCTAGTCTACGCGGAACTCACATATTCACCCTACTTTGGCAGGTTCTCGAGACCGGATCGCGGAGATTTGAGATCTCTATACCCCCCGATGGTCGCTTGCCCAATGCGAGGTTTATGCAGGCCGCACGGAGGACACTTGTCCAGACGCCACTCCAGTTCCTGCTGCACAGGGCTCACCGAAGGCGATGAGCGTCTCTTCGGAGTAAGAGTCGATATCCGTGCCTACTCATTCGACTGCTCCCTCGGCCTGCCAGCTCACCGGATGGTGGCTGACTACGGTAAGCCTTCGCGTAGCTCACGCAATCTCTAGACGCGATAAGCCTTCTTTTCTTCGGGACTTCCTCCCTTTTTGCTTTATGGTTCTTCGTCTCTTACTCGTTGTTTCGCTGTTGACAGAGCCAGCGCTCACTTAAGAAGCTGGAGCACGAGCTCCACGCGACTGAGAATCGGGAACGGGGCCTCGCAGGGAGGGCAAGCAAACTCCAGGCCGAACTCCTGATGACCCGAGACCAACTCGCCGAGGCCCAAACCTCCGCCCGGGGGGAGGATCTAAGCATGGAGATGAAGCGCATGTCTTTGGCGCTCATGGATAGCCAGCTGGACCTGGAGGCTCACAATTCGGAGGTGCGGACGTTCTGCCAGACCCTCATGGTATACCGAGGGTTTACTTTCGGGGTCGAGACAGATCTGGCATTGATGGCGGCCGAGGCCTTCACGAGCAGTCATGCCACGATCTGCATGCTCAGGCGGAAGCTCGAGAAGGAACGGCAGCGGAGCGGAGCGCGGGGGCTGAGCACATCGGGGGCGTCAGGTGGTGCGAGAGATGCGGGCCCTTTTTCACCGGCGGGATCTTCACGCCTGCCGGGTTTTTGAATTAAAATAACTAGTTTCGGGAACTTTTGTCCCCTGTAAATTTTACTTTCGAACCTGGATCAGTGGCCGTTTTTTGGCCTGTTTGCTTGTTTTTAATGCACTTCAGTTTGCTTTATACGTCTTTGTCTTTTATGCATCATTTTCGTGTTCTGTTTTATTTTTCGGATTTGACTTCTCTGCTTCGGGGCTAGTGCGCGTGGCGGTCTCGAAGCTTTGAGTTTTGTAAAGTAGAACCACGGCTTGCGGGCCTTCTACTTTTCTGCAAAGTTAGTCCGTGTATACTGCTTCCTTCGTGGAACGCTCTCGGTGATCCCCCCTCCTTCTAGCGCCAACTGTTCGGGAGAAAATTTCGGGATGTGTGATTCGTTCGGGGTGTGTGATTCGTTCGGGGGTGGAAGTTGTGTCTCCAAGTTTCGTCCTCTAGGGGGAAAGGCGACGGGTCGTTCCAGGACGGAAGCCTGCTTTTGTCCTGGTTACGGAGGAGTCATGATGAGATATCTCGTGAGCACTAAATAAATGGTCAATCGAACCTCCAGAAAGACCGGAAAGGGGTTTCTCTCCCGAAGGTTCCCCGACGCCCAAGTCAATGAACGTCCTACCGGGAACAAGTACTCAAGATGGGAGTTTATACGCGTTTGGGGTGAGAAGTCTCGTCCGGGGATTGAGACTATTATATGTTTATGAGTGTTTTGAGGGGGCTTCCTATATAAAGAAAGAAGACTTAGCGAGTATAAAAGCAAGGTTCCGGGTCAAGAGAGACTTATCCTAGAAGGCATTCACTCGGGAGAATGGAGGATTCTCCTTCGGTCATGCTGCTCGCTGGGGCTGGTTGACTCGGTTTTGGCGGTCATTCCCTCTTAAGGGGTTTTTGATCCACCGAGCTGATCCCCTCTTGTGTGGTGATCTCTCCTTTTATACTGGCCATCTCCATGTTCTGTCTTCTTCATTCGGCACGCCAGAGGAGCATGTGGTAATGATGATTCTTTGTGTGCTCGGAGAAGCTTGCCAACTGCCCGAAAACAATATACAGGAGTGGTTCGGCCGAACTAGTGTGACGTGCATCAGTGTCTAGGTCAGTCTAGCCTCCACGTGTCAGGTTCTCTTTAGGCCGGGTAAAATCGATCTCAACACTTATAAATATGTACATAAGTTCATTATTGTATGTGGTTCTTTGAAAATTCTTAGTAAATAACATGAGAATTAATAAAGTGAGTTACTGGGAGATATATTTACGTTAGAAATTTGTTAAATTTGTAAAAAGTTTTTTTTTAGATTTACAAAAAATTTATTTATCTAGAAAATTTAGAAAAATATTTTAATATAATTGATTTTAAGAATTTTAGGATTATAGTTAGTTTATTGAAAGTTTTGTTTTATGTATTTATTTATCTAAAATCCACGTCCTAATAATAAAAAAGCTTTTAATGGAATTATAAAAATTTTAAAATCTAATATTTTTCAATAACAATAAATTTATATAAATTTTAAAAATCATTAAATAAGCAGCACTAAAATTTAATATATATACTAGATGAGTACCAGCGCGATGTGCGGATATTTTTTCACAAAATAATTTATTAAAAAGTATAGTTACAATTTATTTTATCGTATATTTAAAAAAATTTAAAGGATATTGTGTATTTGAATTTACATACAATACATATTTACATATTATGTGGATATTAACTATATATGTGATCAATGGTTTATTGATAAGAAAATGTGAAATATATTTTACCTTGTATATATAGAATATATTAAATAGATATAGTGCAAATCAGAGATGTACTTTATAACAAAAATTAATTAGAGAAACTCTTCAAGCACAACATAGATGGAAACAACTCTTTTTAACATGTTATACTTGTTCACGACGTACATTTACACAATGGCAATGACATGGTTTTATATTTTTATGAGCTTAAATAATTAAATTATAATTCTAATTTATACAGCTGCGTTAAATATTTTAAAATTATCAATAAATCAAGTTTGAATAAAATAAATTATCAAATAATTATTAGTTTATAAAAAAATTATTTTAAAGTTTATTATAATATTATATAAATTTTTCTTCTAACTTTTTAAGGTTCAAGATATCAAATAATTGTTATTTTTATATTTGTATAATTTTTTTTATAATAATATCTTATAATATTAAATAAAAATAAGAAAACACTCTTAAATATAAAACATAAATTTTGTTAATGATTTTTAAAAACTACTACAAAATAGATATTCAATAATTATTTTTGGATATTATGTATATATTGTTCTTAAAATATATTATATAATTTTCATATTTAATATATTAAATTTATGCATTAACTTTATTTTACATAATTTGTATCATTAAATTTTTAAAAATGATACATGACATTTCTACAATAAACCAAAGTGATGAGATGACACTCATATGGAGAGAGTTGGCTATATTTTATAGTATAGATTAGACTCCATTAAACAATAACAATAAATTTTAAAAATTCTAACAATCTTTTAAAATTTATTTACCAATAATCTCCCTAAATCCATAAATATTGTATATCTCAATTAAAGAATAGCTATTGCGAAAACAAAATTAATAACATACTTAATCTATTATATAAAGACTCAGTTGAGTCTCTTATGGATCTAGAAATTAAGTAAAAAAAATTCTTCGTCAACAACTTATTTTTTTATTTCTTGAGAATCATTTCAAAACTTCTGCCGAAGTGTCTCCTTTAACAATTAATTGATCTCGAAAATCCATAGTTATCTCTCAGATCACTCAATCGATAATCACTCAATCGACTCTCTTCTGCTTGCTAAATTGAAGTAGAGAGAAAGAGAAAGAGAGATGACAAGCGGAGACGAATCGATGACAGATCTACAATACTCCTCTGTTCACTCACATCATCGCTACTGCCGGCGAGGTTAGATCCTTCTTCTTTCTCTTCTTTTATTTTCCTTCTGATCTGAATGGTTTTGCTACAGTCGATCCATATTTCTGAAAAATTTCATGTGAACTTCTTTGGTGTTGATTGGAATTTGGAAGCATGATGAAAGAGACACACGAAGATAAATAGAAGATCCGAGGAGAAGGCTTGCCATGGAGAAGAAAATGAGAAATCTGGAAACCAACAGTAGAATTGAAAGTCCAGATTATTTTCGCTGATTTTCAACTTGAAACCTTCTTCCGACTCATCTCATGTGTTGACTATCAGTCAGTCACCTTGATCTTCATGATGATCTGTTAGGTCTGATCTTCGTTCTCACTTTTTAATGTTTTATAGCTTCTAGAAAATCAAATCATAAGTTCTTAGATCAAGAACCAGTGGTTTAATTTGTTGTTCGAACATTATTTAAGCGATGGAGGAGATTTCATAAGATGAGGAAATGGAACACTATAAATGTTGTGAAGTATGTTGATGAGCTGATGAAATCGGAGCTTCATATAGTTTATTTTGAAGCTTTTAGAAGAGTTTTTCTACAAGACAATAGGACAACTAAGCAAGGCTAAGAGGCAGTTCAATGATATTCTCATGTGTGTTGTATCTCTGCACACATATGTATTCACCTTTTTGACGTTTGTTTTAAAATTAATCTTTAACAAAACAGAGATTTATAAATGATGCATTCTTTTGTTTGGTAGATTGGTAGATGAAGACTATAATTTTCCCTTTTTTGAAAGTCATTTTCTACTACAGCCACCTCTAGCTGTGTCTATATGGCTCTCTCTAGAAACAAGGTAACTCTATTGCTAAATTATTTTATATCTTGCTTCTCTTTTCTATTACATGTATAAGTTCTGCGATCTTTTTCCCTTTCATAAATCATTGTTAAAGTTCATAAAGTATGAAGCTTTTATGGGTCTAAAGATGGAACTACATATTAATTCTTATACATAATACATATATACTCATACATGAGCAAGCTATACGTCTCTGGTATACGTAAACAAATCAGCAATTTTATATCATCATTACTCCTCAGATTTTCAAATATTTCAAAGAGGTAAAATACAATTTGGCATTAAATCGGATTTTTGTTGTAGCTTGCTTTCACAAATGAGTTTCTTTTCCATGCTCCTACTTCCTTGATACGTAGTAAAGGCATTGATTTGAAAGAAGGACCTGATTCTCTCCTAATAGCTTCCACTGATTAGGTGTTTGTATGCTTTTTTTTTGTAGTTTCATTCTGTAATTTTATTTACTATGTAAAGGCATTGATCTTGACAGGATTACTTCTCGAAATGGGGAGAGAGTGGTGAAGTTGATCTAATGGATGAGCTAGAGCGTCTCATCATCTTGACTGCAAGTAAATGTTTACTTGGTCGACAAGTACGTGATCAGCTCTTTGATGATGTATCTGCTTTGTTCAATGACATTGACAACTGAATGCTTCCCATCAGTGTTCTCTTCCTATACCTCCCCCTTCCAGCTTGCCGTCGTCGTGACCTGCAAAAATCATAGGGTCGAGAAAACGCTCAGGCAAATCAGAGAACGATACGATCGGATCCGAAGTCATTGGCTTGCTCATTGCTGCTCTGTTTACAGGACAACACACTAGCTCTATCACTTCCACATGGACCGGTGGTCCGGTGCTTATCTGATGAAATACAAGAGTACTTCTCAACTGCTTTGGATGAGCAGAAGAGGCAGATTGAGAAACATGGAGACCAGACTGATCACGATATCTTCTTCGAGATGGATGTTCTCTTCCGCTACATCAAAGAAGTGTTGAGGCTTCACCCTCCATTGATCATGTTCACGAGAGCACAGTGATTTCAACGTGACAGCCCGAGATGGGAAAGCGTATAACATCCTAAAGGGTCACATCGTCATGACCTCGCCTGCATTTTCTAATTGCTTCCCGCAAATATTCAAAAACCTGGACACATAGATTCTCAACTGGGAGAGAAGAGGACAAAGCCGTAGGAGCATTTTCGTACATTTCATTCGGTGGAGGCAGGCACGTGTGTCTTTACCTTCAGATTAAAACCATATGGAGTCATTTGTTGCGAATCTTTGAGCATGATCTTATTTCACCGTTCCCTCAGTGACTGGAACGCTATGGTGGTTGGCGTTAAAGGGAATGTGATGGTGCGTTACAAGCTGCGCCAATTGGTTTAAGGTGGTATTGCAGCTTTGGTTTAATGTCTTTGCTTCTGCTTGCTTTTGTCCCTCTGGTTTCAGGTTTGTTGTTGATGGTTCTTCTGCTACTTTGAACTATTCTTACTTATTATTATCGACACTTAATTTTCTAGCTTTCCAAGTTGGTTGGTTCTGTGAATATGATAATCCAAATGGAGATTTGATTTATGCTCAGTTACTATCCACAAAGTCTTTAGCTAATTTAACCTGAAAACAAAATTGTGTTTTAAAAAATATACATACTAACATATAAACATTTATAAAAAAAAAATATGCATACATTACTAACAATGTAATTAGGTGATTGACCATCAAACTTTCCATTAGTTTGTATTATAACGAAATCTCAAACATTAAGTAATAACATTTCAGTTCAAATGTTAAGAGATTAACATCTCATTTAATTTTTTCGAATTAAAACATTTAAATAAAATTATGTAAATTTGATATGTAAACTGAAATGGTCAACAAAACGCTCACAATATGAGTTTGTTGCTAGATTATTTTCTCAATTTTAAATTACGGAAAGTATATATTAAAAAAAAATACCTCAGATCAAACAACATAATGAATATATTGAATTATAAAACATTAATTCAGTGTTATTCTAGCAAGTATTAGATATACACATGTACAATGTGAAACATTTTAACTGAAATAAAATCAGGTATGTACCATAATTATATATTTTTTAAAAAATACTATAACAAATAGACTAATTCTTATTTGTAGTGTATGATGTTTGAATGAAAAATGTACAATTCACAATTGATTTTATCTTAATGAAAACATATATGTATATTTTGCAATATATCTAACCAAACTTATGGAATTTTTTAAGATATCAAATATTTCTTTTTAATATAATAGTGTTCATTTCTATTTTTAGGACTGTCAATCTCTATATTAGAGTTTTTGCTTACAAACTAAAAATAATATATTTTTATATTCTTTGTTATTTTGATTTTAACTTGAATTCAAAATTAAATTATAACAATATTTAAAATAAAATATTTTATTAATTATTTAAAATATATAATAAAATATAAATCTGTGTATACACAACATCATTACATTAGAAAGAAAATTAAACAGACGTAATTTGTTAAAAAAAATAAAAAGTAGATATTCATAAAAAACCACATCTTCATTCATACATATCATAACTATAATAAAAAATATTATAACAAATACAATCATTTTACTTTTTAATAATATTATAGTTTATTTTTACTTTGAAAGCAAATATATTAACTGCATTTTTTTGAAGTAGAATATTTTCAAATTTTCTGTAAATTTAAGTTATTTGTTTATTTATTAAAAATAATATATTTGGTTTACACAAAAAATATAGTAAAAAAACTAAAAATAATTTATTTATCATTTTTAAATGTAAAAGAAAAAATAAATATAAAAAAATTATAATATAACAAATATATAAATTACTTAAAATATTATATTTATTATATTTTTAAAAATATATAATGAAACATAAACCTGCGTGTCTACGCGGTTTATCACCTAGTATTTCATAAAATGGGTCTTATAGACCACTAAGAAGATCAAACGGGGTTATTCCGAAACTGTTCAAGATTTCGGTGTTATTTGTAAATATCGGTAATATATTTAGAACGATGATATTAATACAAGAAACCCTAGTCTCTCTCTGCTTCCCTTCTCCCTCCCTACTCTCTCTTATAACGGCGACCAGGTTAGTGATACGCTTCGGGTATCGTCTCCACACGAGTGATTGGATCTCTGCTCTTTGTTATCGGATCTCATCGAATTCATCAGTTTATCGAATCGTTTGTGTTTGTTGATTGGAAGAGGTGAATTTAGGGGTTGGGCGAGATTCACTGTAGCTAGGATTCGCAAAAGGCTTCTTCCTTTTTTTTTTTTTTTTTTTAATTTGTGATGTTTCTGGGGTTTTCTGTATTCTCGTGCTCTCTTTGAATCTGGTAGGTTTACAAAATCGATATGTTTGATTATATAATCGGTTTAATCCTTACGTTTTCTTTCAGGCAAATTGGTGTATCGATTTCGTGTGAGCTCGTCTTGCCTGTTCGTCTGAAACATGGCGCATTTCGCCAAACCAGAGAATGCACTGAAGCGTGCTGATGGTAAGTTGCGAAATTGTTCATCCCTCAATTGAACAAGGATTTGGTTTTGTGGTGTATGAATTGACATAATGATACATTTGTGTGCAGAATTGATCAATGTTGGACAGAAACAAGATGCTCTCCAGGCACTTCATGATCTCATTACCTCCAAGAGATACAGATCTTGGCAGAAACCACTTGAGAAGATCATGTTTAAGTACCTGGATCTCTGTGTAGACTTGAAGAGGGGTCGGTTCGCCAAGGATGGATTGATCCAGTACCGTATTGTTTGCCAGCAAGTGAATGTCAGTTCATTGGAGGAAGTAATCAAGCACTTCCTACATCTTTCTACCGAGAGAGCTGAGCAGGCTCGCTCTCAGGCTGATGCCTTGGAAGAGGCCCTTGATGTCGATGATCTTGAAGCTGATAGAAAGCCTGAAGACTTGCAGCTGAGTATTGTCAGTGGGGAGAAGGGAAAAGATAGATCTGACCGTGAGTTGGTCACCCCTTGGTTCAAGTTTCTGTGGGAGACGTACAGAACAGTGCTTGAGATATTGCGAAACAACTCGAAGTTGGAAGCACTTTATGCGGTTAGTTTTAGTCTTGGAGATTGTTATTAACATTTCCACTGATATCTTTAGCTGAATGAGATTTAAGTTTTGTTCATTGTTGTCTTGTAGATGACAGCACATAAAGCCTTCCAGTTCTGTAAGCAGTTCAAGCGAACAACGGAGTTCCGTAGGCTTTGTGAAATCATTAGGAACCATTTGGCAAACCTGAACAAATACAGAGACCAAAGGGACAGACCTGACTTATCAGCCCCTGAAAGCTTGCAACTATATCTGGATACAAGGTTTGATCAGTTGAAAGTTGCTACTGAGCTTGGACTTTGGCAGGTGTGTTTGGTTTCTACTTATCCTATCCACTTTCCCATTGCTGGAAATGAGTTAGAATGGTTCTTGATGTATCTTTTTTTTTTTCAGGAAGCTTTTCGTTCTGTAGAAGATATTTATGGATTGATGTGCATGGTCAAAAAAACGCCCAAGTCATCTTTATTGATGGTCTACTACTCCAAATTGACCGAGATCTTCTGGATTTCTTCTAGCCATCTTTATCATGCTTATGCATGGTTCAAGCTGTTTGGTCTACAGAAAAACTTCAACAAGAACTTAAGCCAAAAGGATTTGCAGCTAATTGCATCATCTGTTGTCTTGGCCGCATTATCCGTTCCACCGTTTGATCGGGCTCACAGTGCGTCCCACTTGGAACTTGAAAATGAGAAAGAACGCAATTTGAGGATGGCCAACCTCATAGGATTCAATCTTGAACCTAAATTTGAGGGCAGAGACATGGTAACATAGGCTCTGATGTTACTTTATTGTTATACGTTCATACGTCCCCTCCTTCATTTCTGATATGTTATTTCTAATTCCATACATTTCATTTTCAGCTATCCCGGTCTGCTCTTCTGTCAGAGCTGGTGAGTCTCTAGCAGTCGCATCACATAGTTGATATTCTTTACCTAAGATTAAAAACAGGAATCTGATTTTGAGGCTTATTTCGTTGCAATTAGGTTTCGAGAGGAGTTTTGAGCTGTGCATCTCAGGAGGTCAAAGATCTTTTCCATATTTTGGAGCATGAGTTTCACCCACTCGATCTTGGATCCAAGATTCAGCCTTTGTTGGAAAAAATCTCGAAATCTGGTGGGAAGCTGTCGTCTGCTCCTTCTTTGCCAGAAGTGCAGCTCTCCCAGTATCTTCCTTCTTTGGAGAAGCTTGCTACTCTGAGGCTACTTCAACAGGTAAAGGGTACTCATTGTTTTCTATTTTGTGTGGGCAATATCAAGTCAGCCCTTTTCGCTTGGGCTGTTGATTTCTCCTGTTTTTGTATATGTAATTAAAAGTCTGCTGCGAATTTTGTTTACAGGTGTCTAAGATATATCAGACTATAAGAATTGAGAGCTTATCTAAGCTGGTCCCCTTCTTCGAATTCTCAGTGGTAGAGAAGATATCAGTCGATGCAGTGAAAAACAATTTTGTTGCCATGAAAGTTGATCACATGAAGGGTGTTGTAATTTTTGGTAATTTGGTAAGCCTCTGTTGATGCTTTAGTTCAACACTGCTTATATCATGCCCATCACTGAGTGATGTAACTCTTTACTTTTGGCTCTTTGATAGATACTAATTCATCCAATCAACTGGTTTTCTATTAGGGTATTGAATCTGATGGACTGAGAGACCATCTGGCTGTTTTTGCCGAGTCCTTGAGCAAAGTAAGAGCTATGCTGTATCCTGTCCCAAGTAAAGCATCAAAACTAGGTGGCATAGTACCAAATCTAGCGGATACTGTTGAGAAAGAGCACAAAAGACTCCTTGCTCGGAAATCAATCATTGAAAAGAGGAAAGAGGATCAAGAACGTCAGCAACTAGAAATGGTATTGTATTTCTCCATGGTGGTTTTTGTATCTCTCCATTAACGTTGTGCCAGATGATGACAATTCCTTGATTTGATGTTTGCTTTGGAAGGAACGAGAAGAGGAGCAGAAGCGGCTTAAGATGCAGAAGTTAACTGAGGAGGCAGAACAAAAGAGACTTGCGGCAGAGGTTCTGGAGAGAAGGAAACAAAGAATCCTTAGGGAAATAGAGGAGAAGGAACTTGAGGAAGCTCAGGCGTTGCTGGAGGACACAGAGAAGCGCATGAAAAAGGGAAAGAAGAAGCCGCTTTTAGATGGAGTAAGTATATTAACACAAGAAGACGTTAGCTATTATCGTTTACATGGTACTAATATTGGTTGGTTTAAACTAAATTTAGGAGAAGGTGACAAAGCAAACTGTGATGGAGAGGGCCTTAACTGAGCAGCTCAAGGAAAGGCAGGAATTGGAGAAAAAGCTCCAGAAACTTGCCAAAACTATGGATTATTTGGAACGAGCAAAGAGAGAAGAGGCTGCTCCATTGATTGAAGCTGCATATCAGCGAAGACTGGTAGAGGAAAGAGAGTTTTATGAACGCGAGCAACAGGTAGAAAAATGTTACTATCACAGTAGCTTTTCTTTGCTTATAACGTGGTTCTGAGTTGAAGTATATGAGGGTCCTTAAAAGCTCTTCTCCTTTTCAGCGTGAAGTTGAACTCAGTAAAGAGCGTCATGAGAGTGACTTGAAGGAGAAGAACAGGTTGTCCAGAATGTTGGATAAAAAGGTCAGTTTTGACACGTCAAGTCGTTTCTCTTAATGTTAATCTCGTCCTGCATCTCTTCACTTATTAATACTTGTCAATGTTTTCTTCATTTACTGCTGTAATCAGCGTACTCATAATCGAATCTTTCTGTGTCCAGGAAATATTCCAAGAGCAAGTGATTAGCCGTCGACAAGCAGAGTTTGACAGAATAAGGACGGCGAGAGAGGAGCGTATCAGCCAGATAATTCGAGCCAGGAAGCAAGAAAGGGAAATCAAGAGGAAGCAGCTCTATTACTTGAAATGTGAAGAAGAAAGGATAAAGAGGCTGCAGGAAGAAGAGGAAGCTCGCAAGCGTGAAGGTGAGATGTGTTTCCATAAATTCACATCATTTTAAGTCTTACGTGGAAGTGTTTCTAATATATCCCCCCATGTTTCTGTTTATATTCTGGTTTAACTCTTATATAGAAGCTGAGAAACGCAAGAAGGAAGATGCTGAAAAGAAAGCTAAGTTTGATGAAATGGCTGAAAAGCAAAGGCAGAGAGAAAGAGAGGCGGAGGAGAAAGAGAAGCTGAGGCGAGAAGCCCTGTTGAAGGGAATTGATGCACCACCTGCTCGCCCTGCAGAGCCTACAGCTGCTCCTGCTCGCCCTGCAGAGCCTACAGCTGCTCCTGCTCCTGCAGCAGCGGCAGCACCAGCAGCAGCGGGTCCTTCTAAATATGTTCCTAGGTGGAAGCGTCAAGCTGAGGTCTCAGGCCCACCAGCACCAACACCGGAACCGCCAGCTGCAGATGACCACTGGGGGAGAAACAGAGGACCACCGCCTCAGAGATCTACTGACCATTGGGGCTCTGGTCCTAGAGGAGGCAGTGACCGCCCAAGTGGTGGCGGAGATGCTTGGCGAAGTGAAGAACGCCGGTCCCCGTTTGGAAGCTCCAGGCCCAGGCCAGCACAGCGTTGAGTACTATTCTTTTTGGTCCCAAATCTCTGCATGGAATGAGAGTGATCTCTGAATTTTTCACATCACAGGCTGTTGTTCCTCTTTAGCCAAAATCTTTGTTGTTTTTGAGGATTGTTGAAAACTTGCTATGTTTTTACTCTATGAGGATTTAAAAACCTGCATGACTCTTTTTTGCTCTACACATCAAGAGTTTTTTCTTTTCCATCTTCACAGTTTAGTTTACCGTTTGGATCTTTGTTTGTCCAATTTAATTGTTACTTTATGCTGTAAAAACTAAAAACCTTTTGACATTGAACAGCTTCTCTTTTATTCAATTCTTCCTACTGTTTAATAATTGTTGAATGTTTAACATTAAACAAAACAAAGTAATTTTGCATTCACTTGTTTAAAGTGAATATCATACTATATTAAAACAATTAGAATGCATTTGAGAACAGGGCTAGGCTCTCTTCACGAAGAAATTGAATCAAAAGTTGCATAGGACCGTCTTGTGTGTTCATCAGCTAGGGCTTCGTTTGGGATTTTTTAAATTTGCAAAGTAGGTTATGAAGTGAAAAAACAAAAAAAAAATGTGGCCTTTTTGGTGGAAAGGAGCATCTGGATTCTCAGCTCGTTCCACGGCTGAAGAAGTCACTCATGGAATCGATGGTACTGGTCTCACCGCCATCGTCACAGGTCTTCTCCTTCCAGATAATCTTTGAACTTTTTATGATCTGGGTTTGTTTCAATTTACACTTTTCCACAGTTTCGGTTCTGGGTTTTTTGTTAAATGGAGGAAAGGATCAAACTTTTTTACGGGATTTGTCAACTTGATCATGTAAATTGACGCATCTATTGGTTTAATTACAGGAGCATCAAGTGGTATTGGGGAAGAGACAACGCGTGTTCTTGCTCTGCGTGGTGTCCATGTGGTAATGGCGGTTAGGAACACAGATTCTGGTAATCAAGTCAGAGAAAAGATACTCAGGGAAACACATGAAGCTAAGATTGATGTGATGAAGTTAGATCTTTGCTCAATGGCTTCCATCAGGAGTTTTGCATCAGAATACAAGTCCTTGGACCTTCCCTTGAATCTTCTAATGTAAATCCTTCAACTTTACTGTTTAAACATTGTCTCATTTATAATTTTATTTCAGTAATTGCTTGAATTAGTGAATGTTAAATGCCATGTTTAATCTCTGTTCTTGTTCTTGAAGCAATAATGCAGGTATAATGGCATGTCCCTTCACGCTTTCAAGCGATAACATCGAATTGCAGTTTGCAACCAATCATTTGGGTAATGTTTATTTAGAAGAACATATGCTTTTTGAAATATGATGAGGAAACATTTTCTGTATTGGAAGGTTTATGTTTGATACAATTCTTTTCAGGTCATTTTCTGCTGACGAACCTTCTTTTGGATACTATGATGAAAACTGCTATTGAAAGCAATAGAGAAGGAAGAATTGTTATCGTCTCATCAGAAGGTCATCGATTTGCTTACGGGGAAGGGATTCGGTTTGACAAAATAAATGACGAAGCAAGGTGATTGCTATGTAACAGTAATATTGTTCATTAACATACTCGTAAGTCTTAACATATTCTTATAGCTCTCTCACTGTTTCTTTGCAGTTACAATACTTTGCAAGCATATGGTCAGTCAAAGCTCTCTAACATATTGCACGCTACTGAGCTCGCTAGGCAGTTCAAGGTAAAATAGTACTTCGCAGGTGACTTCTTTTCATTTTTAATCTATTCCAAAATGCTAAATGAGTAAAAGTATTGTCTATCTTTGGTTTTTGCTTAAATCAGGAACAAGATGTGAATATCACTGCCAATTCACTTCATCCTGGATCCATTATGACCAATCTTTTGCGCTACCACAGCTACATAAATAGTAAATTCTGTTTCTTATTTACTCTTGACTTCTGGATCTCATTTGTTTTGTAAAAATTTAGTTTGAGCCTGCCCTGTGACTCATATCCTAGGTGGTAGTTAGATTGTGTAACTAGTATAAGGTGAACTCTGCTTAACCTACATCTTTTTCTCTATCTTGTTCGATATAAAGCTTGTCAATTATGATCTAACAATGGATGCATTAGATTGTGTAACAGTGGAGTGATAATTTAATTACCGTTTGATGCAGCAATTGGTAATGCGGTGGGAAAGTATGTGCTGAAGAGTATCCCACAGGTCAGTGGTTTTTCTTTATTTCTCCAAATTCCAAATTCATCATCATTCTCAAGCATTTGATTATTTGTGTCTCAACTTACACATGTTTGTCTATGTACAGGGAGCTGCAACTACATGTTACGCAGCGCTACATCCGCAGGCAAAAGGAGTGAGTGGGCAATACTTGATGGACAACAACATATCGAACCCTAATTCTCAGGGTAAAGACACAGACTTGGCCAAGAAACTATGGGAGTTTAGCTTGAGCCTAACTGGTAAAGAAGAATCATAGTTGATTGATTCTGCAGAGTTAAAAGAGTCTTACAAGATAAGAGATCCGGTTTGAATGTGTTAACTGTAAAAGGATATGTTGGTTCTGTTTTTACTGATAACTTTTAAAGACAAGGAACAAGGAATATGCAATAGTCTTTGGACATGGCTTAAATTGGAACGTGGGAACATTACATAGCATAATTTTTGGTTTGACCGTCTTCTTCAAGAAAAGGCATCACCGATGTAGCTAGAAACTCTTGAAACGCAGTTAGCCTGTGATGCTTCGAGTCTACACAGCTCAAATTCCCATTCGTTGATGCATTTCCCGGACAAGAAAGAGCCGAATACTTTAAGTGCCAGTGGAATGCGACCTGTAATCAAGACAGCACGAATAGAGAGCCTGTAGTAACTTCTAGGAACCTGTTCCTGCTTGAATGCAAATTGAGAAAACAGTTGAAGAGCTTCATCGTATCTCATAGACTCAACCTCGTAGATCCGTCTGAGTCTACAATTGAGTAGCACACGCTTGTACTGGGTGATTACGACCAGTCTACTCCCCGGACCAAACCAACCGAAAAACTTCCATATGTTTTCGAGTTTGCCACTATCATCCAGGTCATCAACAACAAGCAAAACCTTTCTGTGTCCGAGCTTAGCCTTCACAACTTCATGAAGCCTCTCTGATTCTGACAACGTTGGCAATAGATGGGCTCTTGTTATCTCCTCTAACAAACACGTTGAGTACTTTCTGGCATCGTTGGTGAAGTAATGGTGCTCTTGAAACTGCGGTGAGACTTGTTCATAGACACATCTAGCAACTGTGGTTTTGCCAACTCCGTTAACACCACAAACGCCGATGGCTCCAACTGTGTCATTCAGTTGCAAATCGAGCAGTGCGGTTACTGCTTTCGCGTGCCGGTCCTTCCCATCAAAGCATTTGAAATCATTACACGGATCCTTCCCATCAAAGCCATTGCAATCACAAAACAGATCCATCTCAACTAAAGGGCTATCGAAATCACTAAAATGCTTTGTTCCACCGATGAATTTTCGAGCTATCCTCCTCCATTTGATTGGTCCAGCTGAAGTCGCCTCAAGTCTGATTTTTGGTTCGAGAGCAATTCGCATTCCGAAACAATCAGAAACGCAACTCGTAACTCTGTCGATGATGTAAGAGTCTTCTTCATCCTTCCTATGATTCAAGAAAAAGAAGATGAGTAACTCCAAGAAACGCTAATTCATAAAACTTTAAGTAGTTAGTACCAATACGAGTAGTCTTGCTGGTAAATCTGAATCGCTTTTGCAACTGCGTCTCTCCACCTCTTCACCTTCTCCAAGTTTTTGTTATCTCTACCGCCAAAATCGTCTGCTTGTCTCAAAACATCGGAAGGATCCACTTCGTACAAGACCGGTACAACCACCAACGACTGTTTCTCCTTACACTCGATTATCATCGCAAGTTCGTCTAAGCACGAGGTGGAAGCAGTGTAGTTCTTCGATATGACCACAATCGCAACTTTGGACTCTTGAATTGCCTCAAGCGCTTGAGAGTTAGCTGGTTGGTCCAGCGGAATCTCTTCTTCACATTTGAAAGTCTTGAACTTCTTTTTAAAAAGAGAAAGCAAAAGATGGCTCACGAAAGTTCTTCGTGTGTCGGTTCCTCTAAAACTGACGAAAACACTAGAATTCATCACTTAAAGATCTGAAGATGTTGTAGAGAGATAGCAGACAAGTGAGCCAAATGTCCCCTCTTGTCAGATCTAAAGTTATAATAAGTCTTGAAAACCGGCACCTTTGTCCAAAAAACAAATCATTTAAAATCTGGCTGTATGTAGAATCTAAATTGATTTTTGGGTAGAATTTAGTACCGACAAAAAAAAGGGTAGAATTTAGTAAAATAACTAAAGATTTAAATGGTATGAGAAATTTCGTTGAATTTGACATAATTCAACAAATCAGATACCGGAAAACAATAAATAAAATTATGTTCGATTGAATAACCAAAATAATTGAAATAAATTTTGAATGAACTAGTTTTGAAATTGCCGAAGTATTACAAAAATTTTCAAAACTATATTTATTCCAAAAAGTTGTGAAAACATACGTATGTTTTAAAAAATCTGAAGTAACTAGTTTCTTATACTACAACTTAGAGTAGCTTCATATACAAATTTTATAACAACATTTTTGTGATATTCATTCCAAAAAGTTGTTAAAACATATTTTATACAAATTTTTAAAATAACATTCGAAAAAATGATAATTTTATTTTTTTTCCCCAACAGATTTAGCACCAAAAATGGTTCAAAAATCCAAACTTTGAGATAATAAATTACAAAACACTTTATGGATAGAAGAAACGAACACTTTCTTTCTACTAACTTGTGATAAAAGATTTTTTTTCCCATTGTCCTTTAATTAACCTTTAAAACTTTAACAAATTGTTTTCTAAAAATAAAACTCACTATTATGCTATTTTTACAAGAATAAGAAAAATTGTATTGATAGACCATATTAATAGTAAAATTAAGTGACATAAACTGACAAGTTTTTTTGTCTACAGTATATTTTAAAAAGATTATTGTGTTCTTATCCACATGTATTACAATAAAAAAGAAAAATAAAAGAAAAAAAAGGAAAGAAAAAAAAGATCGAAAGAGAAGACGGGGATAATAACGATAATCAGCACTGATATTGGTGGTTTTGTTGAAGGTTGTGGTGGTCGGCGGTGATGAGAATCACCGGTGGTGATGATGGTGGTCGATTATAGGGATGGTGTTGGTGATGGTCGGTGGTGATGATGGTATTGTCGTTGGTTGTGGTGATGGAGTCGCCGGTAGTGGTGGTCGATGATGGAGGTGGTGGTGGTGATAGTCGGTGGTGGTGATGGTGTTATTGGTGGTGGTGGTCGTCGGTGGTGATGGTGTTATCAATAGTGGCGGTGGTTGATGATAGTGATAGTGGATGACAGTAGTAATAAGTGGAAGATGGTGGATAACAGTAATAATAACGTTAGCAATAATGCTCATAATTGTTATCTAAGTAATTATCACAATAATTTTGCATAATTTATACAGTTAACAAAGTTAATTTTTATTTTTATGAAATGATGATAATGTTAGCACAATAGTTAACATACTCACAAAGTTAACACAATAATATTTTGATATGATAACTTTGTTAATATGATAATTTTGTATAACTTAACAAAATTAATGTGATATTATACAATATGCTAATCGAGTATCATATTAGTTAGCACAGTTAGCACAATATCATATTAATTAGCATGGTAATTGTTATCCATCCAAACCGCATAAAATAATTTTAAAAGCAAAATAATCATAATTTATATATATAATATGTATCAATCTAATTTTTAATTATTAACTTTATTTTTCTAATTATCATATTATTTGGGCCAATTTACTAAATTTTCCACAAAAATAATCTTCAAAAATATAGATCAATTATTATAATATTGAAGTATATTTTGACATTATTATTTTTAGGCGAAGATTGAAAAAGTGGGCTAACTTCATTAACTCCAGCGGCATCTCGAAGAAATATGCTCAGTAACAAGATTTTAGATTTCAGTATACGAACCCCGAAATGAGATCGATGGATCCGATTCAAAACCAGATGGCTCCGTCGTCCTCTTCAACCCGACTCTGGAACTACGACGTCTTCATCAGCTTCCGAGGAGAAGACACCCGCAAATCCTTCGTCAGCCATTTGGACAAAGCACTCTTCACCAGGGGAATCGCTACCTTCAAAGACAACAGGAAGCTCGAGGTCGGAGATTCCATCCCCGACGAACTTTCCGCAGCCATCCGTACCTCGAGGTTCGCCGTCGTCGTCATCTCCGAGAAGTACGCTACTTCGACCTGGTGCTTGGACGAGCTCCGACTGATAATGGAGGAAGAGATCGAAGTCGTTCCGATTTTCTACGGCGTGAAACCCGCCCAAGTCAGAAACCAGCTCGGAGATTTCTCTTTGGAAAGGTACCAAGATTCAAAAATGGCGAACAAGGTTCCTGGGTGGAGAAAGGCGCTTACAAGTATCGGCAACCGAAAGGGGAAAGAATCAACACAATGGTTAGGCTTTTTCCTTGAGAAATTATATGTAATCATCTCTAGAATCAGTGAGTTTATCGACTTCTCTTCTCTTCTCTTTGATTTAGCGTGGACGATGCCACAATGATTGAAGAAATAGTTCAAAGAATTTCAAGCAGGTTGTTATCTACATTGCCAATAGATTTCGGTGATCTCGTTGGGATGAAAGCTCACATGGAATTTCTCAGCCCTCTCTTGGACATTGACTCTAAGGATGATGCTCGTTTCATAGGAATCTCAGGAACTGGAGGCATTGGCAAAACCACCATAGCCAAGTATCTCTATGAACAACTCAAGCTGCGATTTTCACCTCACCACTATTTCATGGAGAACGTTGCGAAGCTCTCTGGAGAACATGGTCTCTTGTATCTACAACATCAACTTCTCTCCAGTATTTTCCGTGAAGAGAATATGAAGCTGGAGAGCCTTGAACACGGAAGACAACAGCTTGAGTTCAGGCTTAGGCACGTTAGAGTTTTTCTTGTTCTTGATGATGTGGATGATAGGAAACAGCTGTGTGCCTTGGCAAAAGACATTACATGGTTCGGACCGGGGAGCCGAGTCATCATAACCACACGGGACAAGAGCTTGCTTAACTCATGTGGAGTGTACGATGTTAAGTACTTGGATGATGATAAAGCTCTCGAACTCTTTGAGCGGATTGCTTTTGAAGGAGACGAACCTCCTTCTAGTGACGGCTACAAAGATCTCTCGTATCGTGTTTCTAGGCTTACTCAAGGTCTTCCTTTGGCACTCGTGGCTTTCGGCTTTTATCTCCAGAGAAAGCCCCTGTGGGAGTGGAGAGATGCTTTAGTAGCGTTTGAATACGCCTCTGACAAGAATGTTACGAGGATCTTGGATATTAGCTACGATAGCTTAGACAAACTTGGTAAGTCTGTTTTTCTTCATGTCACATGTCTTTTCAATGGAGACCCTGTCTGGTGTGTCGAGACACTTCTTGACCGTGGTGAAGTTGGGTTTAAGGTTTTAGCTGAAAAGTCTCTCGTCGACATATCTGCGGATGGTCTTGTAGCTATGCACTCTTTATTAGAGCGAAAGGGAAGAGAAATTGGCAACACCCCTGCCCAACAACAAATCTTGTGGTACTATCACGACATCTATCACGTACTTGCAGACAAAGCGGTATGCCCTCCACAAAAATGTCTTTCCTTTTATTTTTTTTTGGTTATGTCATGATACCTCTTCTTGACAAGTGCATTTACTACTTACTGCTATATTATATATCAGAGAACAACCAGAATAGAAGGCGTCGTGCTAGATGTTTCTGAGATGCCTTCTGATGTTCATTGGGAACTTTTCAAGTCGATGGAGAATCTCAATTTTCTGAAGATCTGCAACTACAAGCGTTATAAAGGTTCAGATGCCAGGATAAATTGCAATTTTGATGGAATTTTGCTTCCTTGTAAGCTTAGGTTACTACATTGGGATGCATATCCATTTACAGCCTTGCCTTCTGTTGCCCATCCCGATTATCTTGTGGAACTAAATCTTTGTTACAGCAAACTCACAACCCTTTGGTGTGGAAACCCACCGGTATGCTTCCTCACAAAACTAATTTGGGTTTTATACAACAAATTTTAGTCTCTTCATATGAAAATGTTTTTCTTTTCTTTTCTTAACATTTTCCTTTTGTTTTGTTTCATTATTCTTAGAGGCTTTCGCATCTGAAAAGGCTATATCTTACGGGATCTAAGGATCTAAAAGAACTTCCAGATCTTCAGGAAGCAGTGTGTCTCGAGGAGTTGATGCTGGAAGGTTGTGTTTCCCTCACACGGATTCCAGAATCCATTTTTAGCCTACGTAGACTGCAGAAAGTTGATATGTCCAACTGTGATGGGCTTAAGAATCTAAGGATCACAATAGAGGAATCTGAAGCTACTCTCTTCCGAAGTAGAAGCTCGCGCGTTAGATCGGTCCGTGTAGATTTTTCTGATGCAGAACCATTAGTGAAAGAGTCTTCTCTTAGTAATCTTTCAATCAAGGGCAACTTAGAAATCAAGTTGAAGCTTCTTGGAGGATTTGCAGAGCATCTCTGCTTTATAACTGAGCAACAGATCCCTCGTCAGCTGATGATGTTGGAACAGCAAAGCGCTAGGGTCATGACACCTTCCTACGGTTTTAAATCACTCGACATCGTGCGGTTCAACTGCAACATAGAGAGTGGTTCTTTCAAGTGTGGTAGCTTTTCAGATTTTCCCTGGCTTACGGAGTTAAATCTAATTAACTTAAGCATCGAAGAAATCCCAGATGACATTCACCACATGCGAGTTCTAGAGAAATTGGACTTAAGTGGAAATGATTTCAGCGGTTTGCCTACATCAATAGTACTTCTTTCCAAGTTGAAACATTTGACGCTTTGCAACTGCCGCATGCTTGAAACGTTGCCACAACTGTACCAACTTGAGACGCTCACGCTTTCTGACTGTACTAACCTCCGAACATTGGTGAACCTTCCTCAAGCAGAACAAGATCAGGGCAGCTACAGTTTGCGTGAGCTTCGGCTTGACAACTGCAGTAGCGTTGAGTCATTATCAGATGAGCTTAGTCATTTCACCAAGTTGACATATTTAGATATCAGCAGACATGGTTTTAAAACAGTGCCTACAAGCATCAAGGACCTCTCGTCGCTGGTTACTCTCTGTCTCAATTATTGCAAGAATTTGAAATCACTGACAGAGCTTCCGTTGAGCATCAAGAATCTATATGCACATGGCTGCAAGTCCTTGGAAACCTTTTCCTTCTCAGTCAACCATTCTGTTCGTCACCTTGATCTCAGCCCTTGCTTTCATTGGAATCAGGCTTTTAGCCAAATCACTCGGTTTCCAGCTGGAACACATTGTGAAGAGGTAAAAACATCTTCTACTGTAGTACTTATTCTCTCAATCTCAGTCCGCAATAGCTAACCTCCTTTTTTTCCCTTTCATAGGTACCTCTATGTGGTTGCTTCCAGAAAAGTAAGACACAGGGTGCATATAATCAAGAGACGAGGAGTGTCAAATCAGTCCCCATGGAGTGTTTTAATTTCAAAACCTTGAAAGTAATGGCTTTCGCTGTGTGTACGGGTGTGTTCATTTACTGTAGACGACGGGCAACAGCTACAAAATGATGGTCGTCCCCGGAATTAATCAGTTCCAAAGGCCAAAGAGAAAGCTAAAAGAGTATAGTATTGTCTATATTTGGTTTTTGCTAATTCACTTCATCCCGGATCCATTATGACCAATCTTTTGCGCTACCACAGATTCATAAATAGTAAATTCTCTTTCTCATTACTCTTAACTTCTAGATTTCCTTTGTTTTACCGCCTATTGGATTAAAACTGGATGCACACCTGTTCTAAGCAACAATCCAAAATATTGTTTTGTAAGAATTTAGCCTTCCCTGTGACTCATATTCTAGGTGATGTTAGATTTTGTAACTACTAACTAGTATATGGTGAAATCTGCTTAACCCATGCGTTTTCTATATTAACCTTGTCAGCTAATGTTTATGATCAACCGCTAGTATCATGAACTGTGGAGCGATCTATAGAATAACAACTTTTCTTAATCTCTTGTTTGATGCAGCAACTGGTAATGCGGTGGGAAGGTACGTGCTGAAGAATATCCCACAGGTCAGGTTTTTTATTTATTTCTCAAAATCTCAAATTCATCACCATTCTCAACCATTTGATCATTGTGTCTCTACTCACACACACACATACATATACATTCATGTTTGTTTATGTGTGTTGTTTATATGTTTGTTGCAGGGAGCTGCAACTACGTGTTATGCAGCGCTACATCCATAAGCAAAAAGAGTGAGGGCAATACTTGATGGACAACAACATATCTTACCATAATCCTCAGGTAAAGACAAAGATTTGGCTAAGAAACTAGGGGAGTTTAGCTTGAGCCTTATTGGTGAGGAAGAATCATAGATGCTTCTGCAAAGTTATAAGAAAATTGGATTTAAATGTGGGACTGTAAAAGGATATGTTTTCTCGTAAATAAAACCATAAACAATTAATTAAACACAATGACATTTCTGTGAGTATGTTTGTCTTAATAAACGTGTCCGAAACATTATAGTAATTTTAAAAATATATAAGTCACTATAGTAGTTAACCTATTTTCTGTGCTATTTATATATAGTACTCCTCCCTAATCAATTTGTTCCTTTTTTTTTCAAAGACGCGGGACAAACACTAATCTCAAAGACTCAAAACGCATGTGGACTGACTACACCAGAGAAAGTCACCTGTGGCTGCTATATATTTATAATGTGTGGTTGATCACTGAGAGACTTTCATTATCAAGAGCAAAACAATTTTCATCAAACATTTCAAAACAGTGTGTACCCTTCCTTTTCCTCTTCTTCTCAATGGCGATTCCCACGTTTCACTCTCTCCTACGATGCAAAAAATGGTCTCATAGTGACTGGCTTGTCGCTTTCATCGGATTCGTCTTGATCGCTTCTTCAGAGTCCGTTCTCTCCGTTGACCATAACGACCTGGTCAAACTGAAGCTGTCGCGTAAAGCTAAAGAGAGAGGAGCATGTACTGTTGTTATTAACTGTATCCTTCTTATAATTGTTTTCGTTTTACAGTGAATCTTGAATAATTTATTTGTGTTTTTTTTCGCAGTTTGCTTGGATGGAAGCTTGCCTGGTTACCATTTTCATAAGGGTTCAGGACATGGCTCAAAAAGCTGGCTTCTTTACTTGGAGGTATTCTTATTTTTCTTGATTGAAATTTGAATTACTTGGGGACTTGAGATTATATCTGACTTGAGGTTCTTCCAACTACTTTGAACATGAAGTCGCCTTTGACGGCGTTTTAAGCAGTGACCCCTCTCAAAATCCTGGTACGAGCTAGAAAGAATCAGTGTTAGCTTCTTTCTTTATTGACATTCTTCTAAAACTACTTGTCTTTTTGTTGTTATGCAGACTTTTTTAATTGGAATAGAGTTCTGATACGGTACTGTGATGGTGCTTCGTTCGCTGGACGCCCTGAAGCTGAATTCAAGGTAAACAAGACTTTTTCGTTTTGATATGGAAGTTCATGAAACTTTAACAAAAACAAAAAAAAAATCGTATACACGGTTTCTTGAGCTCTCTTTCTCTCTTTTCAGAATGAAACACGGCTCTTTTTCCGGGGTCAGCTCATTTGGGAGGCAATTATGGATGAACTGCTTTCAATGGGGATGTCACATGCGAAACAGGTAAGCGTCCTCACTTGATGTTCTGTTCAACAATAAGATCATTTGTGAAGTTGTAGAGATTAATGTTGTGCACATTTGAATTTTTTTTGCAGGCCATTCTAACAGGATGTTCTGCAGGTGGCTTAGCAACTCTCATACATTGTGACTACTTTCGAGATCATTTTCCGAAAGATGCATCTGTCAAATGTGTTTCTGATGGTGGCTATTTTCTCAACTTGTATGTTTTTCTTAAGAGTTTTTGCTAAGTTCTTTGGATCGTACCGAGTTTATTGAAGCAGATGATACTCACACAGAGCTACTTTTCTTCATTTCAGGCCTGATGTCCTTGGAAACCCAACAATGAGATCTTTCTATCATAATGTTGTTAGCCTTCAGGTAACACTTTTGCGACATAGAATCTTGACTTCTGTATCATAATAAACAAGAAATGTCATTGGATTTTACCAACCAGGGCTTAGAGAAGAGCTTGGATCAGAACTGTGTAGCCAAAACAGAGCCACCATCTAATGTAGGTTTTGTCTCTTCCTTTGATTTCGTATATTTTGTTATCAACCGGTTAAAATCTTTCTCACCTGGTTATGTTTGGTTCTGTAGTGTATGTTTCCTCGAGAATTCCTTAAAAACATTAAAACTCCTGTCTTTCTTATCAACGCAGCCTACGATTATTGGCAGGTTAGAGAGTTTACCACTCAAAGCATGAGCACTTACAGTTCCATGTTTACTGTTTTACTAACACTAAACAAATTTTCAGATTCAAAATGTCTTGGTACCTCCTTCTGCGGATCCAGATCAAAGATGGGAACAGTGCCTACTCAACATTCAGAAGTGCAATGCCGTACAGATGAAAGTTCTACATGGTAAAGATCTTCTGTCTTCCTTGGAGCATAAGCTATCCTAATTCCTTGGAGCATAAGTTATCCTATTTTGATTTTGCAGGTTTCCGCAGTTCTCTGATTGATGCGATAGGGGAATTTCATCAGAGCAAAGACGGTGGGATGTTCATAGATTCTTGCTATTCTCATTGCCAGACTCGTATTACAGATTCATGGCACTCTCCAACCTCAACAAGAATCGAAAATAAGGTGAAGACAATCAACGCAAATCCATCTCTTCTATTTATTTTCTTAGACCTTTTCTTATCTAGCACATGAACTAATTGCTTGGTGTCTGTGTTCTTTTTGTTGCTGTTGTTGGAACAGACAATTGCAGAATCTGTAGGTGATTGGTTCTTCAACCGAAAACCTGTGAAGCTAATCGATTGTTCTTACCCATGCAATACCTCTTGCTGAACATGTGTTTCACCTCAGCTTGCCTTATATTATAGGGAAGACTGCCATGTGTGATTATAATAAATACTTTTTTTTTGTCGAGAGAGTTATTGTCTGGAAATACATGGAATTTCTGTTTTATATAATTGATTTATATATCTTATTAGTATTACTAAAATACATGGAATCTCTTAACTTTGTGATTCTTATGGTTCCACCGTAAGTAGTTTTGATCAACTTGATGTACAAAAATTGGAAAACTTATCAGTAGCTTTGATCAATTTGACCAGCTTATCATCTTCTCTGTCATAGAAAACCAAACCCACACGGTATTCGAAGTTTTGCCTTTTAATGTCTAGCATCTTGAAAAGAAAAAACGAATTATTTGCTTCTGATCTTTTTTGAGAGAACGAAGCTCAACACTTCATTTTTACTAATCTTATGGTTTTTCATCATAACCTTAGATTCTGTTTCTGCACAAACCTCCTCGAAAAGATTCTTCAAACCCAATTCTACTTACGACTTAAACCGTCATCAAATCCTCTATTCTCTTGCTTATAATGTCACAACACACAACGGTTTCTACAACACCTCGACCGGTCAAAACTCCAACATAATCTTCACCATTGGCATGTGCATCCCTGGAACTAAACCAGAGACTTGCTCAGATTGCATCAAAGACGCATCAGACAGCTTGTTAAAGACCTGTCCTAACCAAACAGAAGCTTACACATGGTCAGATTGTTGTATGGTACGCTATTCCAACACTTACTTCACTGGAGAACTCGTTGTGGAACCGTCTCAAGTAGTGATGTATAATAAAGGAGATATCAACTCTAATGTAACAGTGTTTGATAGAATCGGAGAAGACTTAATGTGCTTCTCCATCGAGAAGTCATGGACATAAGTACTATGCAGCTGATGTTGCTTCCTTGACAGCTTCAAGAACTATGTACGCGATGATGCAATGTACACCAGATGTTTCTCCAGGGTATTGTGGGCGTTGCTTGAGGGCCAGTCTTCAAGATTATGAGTCATGTTGTCGTGGTAAACAAGGTGGTGCTGTTACAAGACTGAGTTGCTTTATCCGGTGGGATTCGCATCCATTTGCTGGAGCTTTTGAGAATATTACTTTCACTCCTCCGGTAAGCGATGTGGCAAACACAACAAGCAAAGGTAAAACACATAAAACAGTTCAAGTTCTTAGTGGTTTGCAGGAGAAGAAAAGCACACAAAACAGTTCAAGTTCAAGGTTGGTTGGTTCCTTTTTCTTGCATACATATAAAACCTTGAAACCATTTATGGATCTTTAAGATGAATCACTTTATTTGTGCAGTTGTTGATAAAATCACAACGATAAACTCGCTGGAATTCAGTTTTAAGACGGTTGAAGCTGCAACAGATAAGTTTTCAGACAGTAACATGATTGGGCGAGGTGGATTTGGTGAAGTTTACAAGGTAAATATGCTCTGTTATGTTATCTGTCTGGTTTGCTACTTCTAAGTATGATGATGTACTTCTCTGGTTTGATTCTTCTTATTTTTTGGTAGGGAAAGCTTTCAACTGAAACTGAAGTAGCGGTGAAGAGGCTGTCGAAAACATCAGGACAAGGCGGGGAAGAGTTCAAGAACGAGGCTGTTCTTGTGATAAAGCTTCAGCATAGGAATCTTGTTAGGCTTCTTGGGTTTTGTTTGGAAGGAGAAGAGAAGATACTCGTCTATGAGTTTGTACCTAACAAAAGCCTTGACTATTTCCTCTTCGGTAATACGATATGATCTCTTAGATACTTTAAGATCTGTACAGTTTCTTGTTGGAGCTGATAATTTATATATATGCAATGTGCAGACCCTGCAAACAAAGGGAACTAGACTCGACAAGACGGTACAACATTATCGGTGGGATTGCTCGAGGGATTCTATATCTTCATCAAGATTCACGTTTTACAATCATACACCGTGACCTCAAAGCTAGTAACATTCTCTTAGATTCCGATATCAACCCCAAGTTTGCAGATTTTGGCATGGCGAGGATATTCGGAGTTGATCAGTCTCAAGCCAACACAAGAAGAATCGTCGGAACATAGTAAATTTTCTTAAACTGACTTAATAAAAAAACTCTGTTTTGTGGTTGCTTGCTTGTATGCTAAGCAACTGTATCTTTATGTCACAGACTCACAGTGGTTATACGTCTCCAGAGTATGCAATGCGTGGACACTTCTCAATGAAATCTGATGTCTATAGCTTTGGAATAATGATTCTTGAAATTATAAGTGGCAAAAAAACAGCAGTTCCTACCACATTGCTGATTCTTCTGGAAATTTGGTCACGCATGTGAGTATGGTCTTTCAAGTTACATTTGTGTATATGATTAAGCCTAAAGTTATTAATATGATCACTTGTATTAGGCTTGGAGGCTTTGGAGAAACGATTCACCACTAGAACTCGTGGATCCTACCATAGGAGAGAGTTATCAAAGCAGTGAGGCTACTAGATGCATTCTTATCGCACTGTTATGTATTCAAGAAGATCCTTCAGATCGTCCGTTCTTACCTGCTATCATCGTGATGCTCACAAGTAGTACAACCTCTCTCCCTGCGCCTTGAGCGCCCGGATTTATCCTACCAGGCAGGCATGAACTAGACCCTGATGGCGTAGAGTCTACCATATCCACAAGCAGGTCTATCACCGGTTCTATTACAGATTTAGGTCCTCGTTGAAGAGTGGTGTTTTCTTGATACCGGAATGAATATATGTAATTATGTCTCTTGTTTTTGTCCCTTTTTTACTTTATGAGACAGAAACAGTGAATATATATCATATAACTGTATTACATTTACAGACATTCTAGCTACAACAAGAAACATGTTTTCGGTAAGAAGCTTACCTGGAACACATAGTCAGGTGAAATAGGGGTTCGGTTTCTTTCTGCGGACAATTGATCCGAAGCTGTCAAGGTGTTGCAGGAGCAAAGTACTTGTAGAGTTGTAGGGTTCGTCAAAGCTTGCCACAGAGAGTATTTTGGATAACAGAAACTTTGTGCTGAGAGATGCCAACAACAGCGATCCACAATACTACCTTTGGCAAGGCTTTCACTAACCCGACAGATACTTTACTCCCGGAGATGAAACTCCGATGGGATTCACATGAACAAAATTATGCACACAAATACCCAAAAACTCGAATCTGTCAAAAGGTTAAAACTTTCGAAATGGGCATTTTCTAAAAACGAGAGCTGAAAGGAGAAAAGGGTTATAAGTCTGGTTTTAGTGACAGTCATTCTATATAAGGCTGACTTTTTAAGCACAAGACATGAAGCTCTTATGAAGAAAAAAAAGACAATAATAGATTATGGGCCTTGTGTCTAAAGTCATCTCGTGCCACTAACTTGTGTCTCGATCAATCTATCCATTTACGTCCCTACATGGGCATGTTCCAACTGCATTGGATCATGCATGGTCGGCAAACATAGAGAGACAGTTGTTGATAAAAGGAAAGAGAGACCCACAATAATAGTACAGGTAAATAAAGTTCCATTGTATGGGTATAAGGCTGACTTTAAGCACAAGACATGAAGCTTATGAAGAAAAGAGAAAGACAACAATAAATTATGCATGAGCCCCTAACCTTGTGTCTATAGTCGTCTTGTGCCACTAACTTGTGTCTCTATCAAACTACTTCCCACTTAAAAAAACTCTGTTTTGTGGTTGCTTGCTTGTGGGCTAAAAAGGTGTTTCCGTATGTCACAGAGGTTATATGTCTCCAGAGTATGCAATGTGTGAACATTTCTCCATGAAATTTGATGTCTATAGTTTTGGAGTAATGGTTTTAGATTGTAAGTGGCAAATGAATATCAATTTCTACAACATTGATGAATGATGATTCTGATGGAAATTTGGTCACACATGTGAGAGCATAATATGATCTTTCAAGTTACATGAATTATATGATTAAAACCAAGGAATATGAATTTAATTGATCACTTGTGTTAGGCTTGGAGGCTTTGGAAAAACGAGTCTCCAAAAAGACTTTTGAATCCGACAGTAAGAGAGAGTTATGAGGGTAATGAAGCTATTAGACGCATCCATATCGGACTTTTAAAAATCCTGCAGATCGTCCAAGTATCAATATTTTCTCTTGTTTCTTGTCATTTGAGAGCGATGAAGCTATTAGATGCAGGCATTCTACAACAAGAACACGTTCTGAATCTTTTTTTCTTGTTAACAAGAATTATTGAACGTAAAAACCTCTGATGTATAGGTTTATATGTATTGCAAAGGAATATATATTGACTCAGACCTGGTCTGTTGACTTGAAAAGGAATATATTGACATGTAAAGTTCGGTTTTTAAAGTTTGTTTGTTGACTGGATCGAGTTGACTCCAATGCTGCTAAATCTATATATTGACTCAGACTTGGTCTGTTGACTCAATTTTCTAACTTTATGTTTCCGAAACGTTTTACTTGTAACTTCAACCATTTTGACCACCTTTTAGGATTTGTCAAAGTCCTTCTCTGTCATGGAAAATATGCATAGGAAACTCACATGGTATTTAAAGTTTTGGCATTCTAATTTCTAACAATCTAAACACAAAGCCTTTGCTTCTGATGACCTTGAGAAAAATGAAGCTCAAGACTTCAGTTTTACCTATCTTCTCTTCTTTCCTTAATTCCTTATAAGCTTGGATGCTGCTTCTGGACAAATCTGCTTCAGTGGATTCTTTATACCCAGTTCTACTTACGACTTAAACCGTATTCAAATCCTCTCTTCTCTTGCTTCTAATGTCACATCTCACAACGGATTCTTCAACTCCTCCATCGGTCAAAACCGCAACAGAATCTTCATCATTGGCATGTGTATCCCTGGTACTAAACCAGAGACTTGTTCAGATTGCATCAAAGACGCATCAGACAGCTTGTCACAGAGCTGTCCTAACCAAACATAAGCTTATACATGGGCAGATTCTTGTATGGTACGCTATTCCAACGTTTCTTTCTCTGGATCATACGATATTGGACCGTCTGAAGAAGTGCTGTCCAGTACCGGAGATAGCAACTCTAGTGTAACAGTGTTTGATATCGGGGAAGACTTAATGTCCCGTACGATAACTCCATTGAGGAGTCATGGACATAAGTATTATGCATCTGGTGTTGCTTCCTTGACAGCTTCAAGAACTATGTATGCGATGATGCAATGTA